AACTCTTGGGCCAAAGCGGTCGCCTAGAAATGGGCGACCATGCAATATCGAGGTTTCGATGAGAGGAGGAGGATGGTGAGGGGGGCACATGAAGAGTCGCCCCTCCCCCCGAGCCTCTTGCCGCGACGATCGAGCACACAGAGTGGGATAGGGCGCCGTGCCGATTTCTCGGATCTTCTCTGGCCATCTCGAGCCATGCTGGAGCCACTCCTTGGCTGTCTGATGTCATCTTCGGGGCCATCCACCTCAGAGCTAGTTGAGGCCATGCTGGCCACTCTTGAGCCGCCAAGGGCGCATCGAAGGCAGCTTTCCTTCTTGGTCGCCTCAGAGGCCATGTACGCCCTCCTGCTAGGCTGATACTGGGCGATCCAGACGGTCGTCTTGGGCCAAATCGGACCATCTTGGGGGCCTCGGAGGTTGTCGTCTGGGCTCCATCCTAGCTCTAGAGACCCTCTTTGGGGCGCCTGGGGCAGTCCTGGAACCAGTTTGTGGCAGGACGACGCGACACGCGAAGGTGTAAGTACTCGTTTTCGCTTTTCTGACATTGACGGGGGGGCCATCTGAGGTGTCGTGGAGGCCATCTGGCCATATTGGGCAACCGATGCTCCTGAGGAGCCATCCTGGGCCATCTTGACTACGCATTCGGGAGGCCATCTTCGGCCACCTTGGATACCGTGGAGGTGGCCTGGGGCACGCTTGGAGGCTCTGGGGGCCCTCCGAGGGACGCCAGGGGCCGTCTGGAAGGCCATTCCTGCTTGGGCAGGAGAGCAGCGACAATCACAGGACGTACGTTTTTTCCCCAGTGGCGGACCAAAAAAACACAAGGCTCACTCGCAAGCCAAATGAGGAGAAACGCGAAGCGCCGTTAGCCAGCTACGCAGAGACAAGGGAGGAGGAGGAGGAGGAGGAGGAGGAGGAGGAGGAGGAGGCGGAGGAGGAGGAGGAGGAGGAGGAGAGGAGGACGGCAAGGCGCTCTACAGAATCTCAAGGTCCGCTAACGGACAGCAAGGTTATTCTAAATTACTTTGGCCCGTCGAACGCCTCGTCGAGGCTACTTTGGGCCGTCTGAGAGAGTCGTAGGCCCCCCCCGCGGCCATCTTGACAGTCACACTCCTCGAGTGCTCCAGGCGCCCTTGTGTAAGACTGCTGCACCACTGAAGTACGCCTTCGGGACGCACTGCTAGTTTTTGAGGTAACTGCCGCCCCCAGGCCGATGGCCATATTGGGGGGTTCCCCTTCGCAGCCTAGTGGCCCCAGGAGGTCGGGCGGATTCTGGCTTCGCGTAGTTCTGTGATCCCGGCCGCACGCGCGCAGAAGCGTGGAAGAGGCGATCTTCATTGATTGTCGAAGCCATGCTCTGTGCGTCCCCCTTGTGCGCGCGAAGTGTAGCCAAATGGGTGTGGAACATCCTAGCTTCGACAGAGGCGGCTGCACGTGGATCGTTTCCCCACGGTGCCGCAGGGTGTGGAACATCCTCATGCGGACTGGGGTGTAGGCTTCTGCATGCCAGGGGGGGGGGGGGGGACACGGGGAACTCAGGCCCGAATGGAGCGAGACTTGCCCCCCCGCGTGACCACAAGCGAGAGGCCGACCCCCCTGTGCTGACTCCGTCCTCCTGTCTTCCCCCCCCCCCCCCCCCGGTGGACCGCACCATGCCCTGCCCGTCGTTCCTCTGCTCTGCACGCCGCTCTCGCGCCCTACCCGTCGTTCCTCTGCCCTGACGCCCAGGACCATCCCTTTCCTTTCGCTGCGGTGCAGTCGGGCCGCTGAAGAAGGAGCCTTCTTCGTTGGGGAGGGGCTCAGTGCTCCTCCATTGTTTTGCAGGTTGTCTTAGGCTCTCCCTCCTTTTTTGTTTTGTTTTTTTACGGGAAGCCGAAGTTCAGCTTCTGGAAAAAATCGGGGGTGGACAGAACCCCCAACAGTGACACGTCGATTAGTGAATTGTCCGTTTTCGATTCTCGAGAGGGCGCCGTGGCCGTTATTTTCCAGGCTTGCGCCCGCCAGGTTTGGGCCTCAGGTCGTTTTCACTAAACCACGTTTTACTAAAGGGGGGTCTGTCCATCCCCGAAAAAAGGGGCCTCGTTCCCGATTTGAGGTTCCTTCTGGCAGCGTTTCCACTGTAGCCTCCGGCGGCCTCGGCACGCCACTGCCCAGGGCGACCCCGGGTGGGGCCTCGCGCCTCCGCCGCGCGTCGCCCTCGGCGAACGGCCGGCAGCGGGCCGGCGGAAGCATACATCGGACGGGGCCAGGACGAGGATAAGTCCTCCTCCTTCGTCTCCTCCGCCTCCTCCGCCTCCTCCCTCCGCCTCCTCCGCCTCCTCCGCCTCCTCCTCCTCCGCCGCCCCCGCCGCCTCCTCCGCCTCCTCCGCCTCCTCCGCCTCCCCCTCCCTCCCATAGCGTTCTGGAGCGCTCTGAGAAGGCCGCGGCGCCCGAGACATCCTCCGGAGCCGCCAGGTCTCAGAGATTCTCGATCTGTCCTCGCCCGATTTTATCCTCGCCCTGGCTTCGTCTGAATAGAAGGACGGCAGGCCCTCCGGCGGAGGGTCGGCGGAAGGTCGGCGGAAGCAAGGTTCGCCGTGGGGAGAACGGTCGACTGCACGTAAGAGTGACCCTTCGCCGGAGTGACCTTTGGTGCGTGCCCGCTTGTGTTTGGTCCCCCCGCGGCCCCCAAAAGCCGCGCACCCCAGGTCACCCTTACCCAGGGTCACTCTTGCGTGTAGCCGAAACGGATCCTGAGGGAAACGGGCCCTGAGGTTTGTCGCGGTTTTCGGGCCCTCGGGGCCCTCCACGGCCCCTGGACTTTCGGAGAGCGGCTCGGGATGAAGATCTGGTCTTGGGGGAAGGCCCCAGGGCCCAGGACCCGTTTCCCTCAGGACCTGTTTCCCCCATGCTCCAAGGTGAGACGCCAACAGTCTCGGATCCAGTTGTGGCTCAGTGTTCTTCCTTGACAGGGCTTTCCGTTGGTGGGACCTCCTGCAGGTCGCCGATCTTCCCCATGACCCGCGGGCGTTTGCAGCGCGCCTGGAAGATCCGAGCATGGCCAGGAGTGATTGACGGCCCACCGATGCCTCGAGTTCGCCGTGCCAGCACGAGGCAGGCACAGACTTAGTGCGATTTGGAGGCTCGTCATACTTGTTGTAGTCGCTTCCACGCTGCCCCATAGATGCCTCATACTTGTCCCGTGGCCGCATCGTAGCATCCTAAGATTCGGCTCAACAATTGCCTCGTAATGTTTCGCAACGTCGCTTGATACCAACCTCACGAATGTCAATGCCTTATCCCCTGCGGACGTGGATAAGCATGAGGGGGCCCACCGTATTAACCACGCTCGTATATCATGATCAGATTCAAGAGGCTTGCGCCATTCTGCCGACCTCCAGACGCATCGAGGAGCCCGTGGAAGTTGCTATTGCGAGGCAGGGGCTTGAATGTATTGCCTGACGCAGCGATTCTTGGAATGGGGCTTCTTGGGGGCCTCCTAGGGGCCTCGGGGATGGGGCCTCTCGGGAAACGTGTGAGGGCTCTTGGGGTCGTGTTGGGGCCTTGTTGGGTCTTCCTGGAGGCGTCTTGGGGTCATGCTGGGGGTTTTCGCGCCCATTATGCTGGAGAGGGCTCCTGGAAGCCTTTCCAGTGGATCCTTCTTGGGGCTCTGTTGGGGCCCTCTTAGGCTGTCTTGGGTTCTCTGTGGGGCCTCTCGGGTCGTCTTGGGGCGATCTTTGGGGCCTCACGGGCCGTCTTGTATGCTGTTAGGATGAACAAGAAGTGGACATGTCAGCCATGTACGTTTTCCAACAAGACTGTGGAGCTGCTTGCCTCTCTGGGCATTCTTCGGTGTCCTCTTTGAGCCCTTCTTGGGCCGTCTTGGGGGCCTTTTGGACCGTCTTGAGGCTACCTTGGATGCTTTTGAGGCCATCTGGGCGTGTTGGTGCCCTTCTTGATCCGTCTTGGACAGCACCTTGGGCATCTCGGAGGAGACGGAGGCTGGCTTTGGAGGCTCCTGAGGCCGCTTGGGTGCGTTGGGGAACTCGTACCTTCCTTCCCCTTGAACTCGACGTTGGACCATGGGAGAGGTGGAAATGGGGGAGAGGGATAGACAACCATCTCACACGCCTTTGCACCCTCGGCAAGGGGGGTCGGCGGATTCCAGCCAGCGTGGAGCCCAACCAGTGAGCTATGTTCATTTATGGGATGTGGCCGATGTGGTGCCATCTATGCGTTGCAACTGTTCAGCTGTTGGCATCCGCGCGTGACCACCTTCCATGTGCTCGAGCAGACACCCTGCCCGCCCACCCGCAAACAATGGTAGAGCGCAAGAGGGCGTGAGTGAAGTTACTCATCACGACTTCCCCACCCCTATCCAGTCCTTCGGTCGCAAATCTTGGGATCCGAGTATACCTTCGCAACTAGAATGCATTAGCGTCGACTAGCGCTTGGTACTTGATGGAATCGCGCCAGTTTAGCGTCGATTAGCGTCGACGACTAGCGTCGAGCAGCGTCGATTTAGTGTCGACTAGCGTTGATTAGCGTGGATTCGCAAGAGCCAGCGAGATGGTATGGGAGGCTCCCATGAGTTGCCGCAGAACAGTCGCCCGCTGTCCGCGCGCATGCGCGCCATCGCTAGCCTTTCACCCCCCAGTTTCGCAAGCGCCTGTCGCCCGCCCTGGCCCTGGCAGGGCAACTTCAGCCTGGATCAGGCCCGAGTGGCCCAAGCCCCACGCCTTGAACACCACGGGATCCCCCCGGCAGTCCCCCGCTGTCCCTCCTTTCTTGCCTTCTCGTCTTGTTTGGCTGGTGGTTGAAAATCGTGTGCTTGAGTGTTGAGTGTGTTGCTGGAGTGGGCGTTGCTATTCCGTCACAGCGGATGCCATCGTGTCGGGTGTGTTCTCATCACTGTTTTTCTGCGCCGGTCTCTTCTGCGTGTTTCTGAAGTGATCGAGCTGCCTACCCAGCAGTAGGATCCCGCCCATAGCAGAATCAGGATCAGACTCCTCCCCCCGAAGGCCTCGGCGGCGGCGGCGGAGCAGCCCGGCGGCGGCCCCCAGCAGGACGGCCTGGAGCAGGACAGCGGGTGGGGTAGCAAGAGGGACGAGTGGAGAGGGGGAGTGAGGAGGAGGAGGAGGAGGGGGAGGAGGAGGAGGAGGAAGATGAGTGATGAGTGATGAGAATGAGGATGATGACGATGCTGCTGCTGCTGCTGCTGCTGCTGATGATGATGATGATGATGATGATGATGATGATGAGGACGATGACGATAAGGAGGATGAGGCTGAGGATGAGGATGATGATGCTGATGCTGAGGATGATGCTTATGAGTATGATGATGCTGATGATGCAGATGATGATTCTGATGATGATGATGATGATGATGATGATGATGATGATGATGATGATGATGATGGTGATGATGATGATGATGGTGACGAGGATGCTGATGCTGATGATGCTGACGATGCTGATGGTGATGGTTGTGATGCTGATGCTGATGCTGATGCTGATGCTGATGCTGATGATGATGATGATGATGATGATGCTGATGCTGATTATGATAACGATGCTGATGATACTGATGATATTGATGATGATGCTGCTGATGATGATGCTGCTGATGATGATGACGATGATCATGATGATGATGCTGATGATGATGCTGCTGATGAGGATAATAATGCTGCTGCTGATGCTGATGATGATACTGCTGATGCTGATGCTGCTGATGATGATGATGCTGATGAAGACGCTGCCGATGATGGTGCTGCTGCTGATGATGACGATGCTGATGTTGCTGATGATGATGATGATTATGATGATGATATGATGATGATGATGATGATGATGATGATGATGATGATGATGATGATGATGATGATGATGATGATGATGATGATGATGATGATGATGATGATGATTATGATGATGATGATGATGATGATGATGATGATGATGATGATGATGATGATGATGATGATGATGATGATGATGATGATGATGATGATGATGATGATTGATTTATGCTGATGATGCTGATGATGCTGATGATGATGCTGATGCTGATGATGATGCCGATGCTGCTGATGATGCAGCTGCTGATGATGCAGCTGCTGATGATGACGACGAGGAGGATGAGGAGGAGGAAACATATGATGAGGAGGAGGGGAACGGGGGGGAAGGAGAGGATGGAGAGGAGGATGACGAGGAGGGGGAGGATCAGGAGCATGAGCAAGGGGAGGAGTAGGAGAGAGGAGGAGGAGGAGGAGGGGAGGAGGAGGAGGAGGAGGAGGAGGAGGAGGTAGGAGGAGGAGGAGGAGGAGGGGAGGAGGAGGAGGAGGAGGAGGAGGAGGAGGAGGAGGAGGAGGGGAGGAGGAGGGAGGAGGAGGAGGAGGAGGCGGAGGTGGAGGGAGGAGGAGGAGAGGAGGAGGAGGAGGAGGAGGAGGAGGAGGAGGAGGAGGAGGAGGAGGAGGCGGAGGATGAAGGAGGAGGAGGAGGAGGAGGAGGAGGAGGGGAGGAGGAGGAGGAGGAGGAGGAGGAGGAGGAGGAGAGGAGGAGGAGGAGGAGAGGAGGAGGCAGGAGGAGGCAGGAGGAGGCAGGAGGAGGCAGGAGGAGGCAGGAGGAGGCAGGAGGAGGCAGGATGAGGAGGAGGAGGAGGATGAGGAGGAGGAGGAGGAGGATGAGGAGGAGCAGGAGGAGGAGGAGGAGGAGGAGGAGGAGGAGGAGGAGGCGGACTATTAGTAATAACAAGAAGAAGGCGAATACGAACAATAAGAAGACGACGACGAATACTAATAATCATAATCAGAATAGGAAGACGAATACCAATAATAAGAAACACACGAATACGACGACTACTAACATTATTATTTATACTACTAATAATAATATTACTAATAATAATAATACTAATACTGACAATACTACTACTAATAGTACTAATACTAATAATATCAATACTAATACGACGAATACGAATACTAATGCGACTAACAATCAGAATATTAATACCACCACTGCTAATACAACTAAGACGAATAATACTACGAAGATGACGAATAAGATGAATCAGCCTAATAACACTACTAATAATAATAAGACTACGAATAATAATACTAATAATACTACTAATGATAATACTAATATTAGTAACAACACTAATAATACTAATACTCATACTAATACTAATACTACTAATACTAATAATACATATACTTACAATATTACTAATATGAATAATAATAATAATGCTACTACTACTACTAATAATACTACTAATAATAACAATAATAATGCTACTATTAATAGCAGTAATAATACTAATAATAGTAATAATAATAATACAAATAATAATAATAATAATAATACTAGTAATACTACTAGTAGTAGTAATAATAATAATAATAATAGTACTAATACTACTACTACTAATACTAATACTACTATACTAATAATAATACTACTATTAATAATCATCATAATACTAATAATAATAAGAATAATGCTACGCAGAAGAAGGATACTACTACCTAATAATACTAAGAAGAAACATACTAAGAATACGAAGAAGAAGAGGAGGAGGATGAGGATGAGGATGATGAGGAGGAGGGGGAGGAGGAGGAGACGGAGGAGGAGGGGGAGGGGAGGAGGAGGAGGCAGGAGGAGGAGAGGAGGAGGAGGAGATGAGGAGGAGGAGGAGGCGGAGGAGGAGGGGAGGAGGAGGAGGAGGAGGAGGCGGAAAAGGAGGAGGAGGAGGCAGGAGGAGAGGAGGAGGAGGAGGAGGAGGAGGAGGAGGAGGAGGAGAGGAGCAGGAGGAGGAGGAAGAAGAGGAGGAGGATGATGATGATGATGAGGAGGAGGAGGAGGAGAAGGAGGAGTCGGGAGTCGGGAGTGCCAGGACGAAGTCCAGATGAATGGGAAGGCGGGACCAAACCCCCCCGCCACTAAGGCCCCTTATGGGCCCCAGTCTTCCTCACGAGCTCAGCCTTACTGTAAGCCTTGGGGAATAAACCCCGCTCGATTCGGGAAAGATACTCGGCACGGGTATCGGACACCACCTTGGGGCACAACTTACCCAAGCCTAACAATTGTCGGTCCCCGTACATCCCACAGGTGGCGCAAAACCAGACCCCTAGGTCCTGGTGGAAGCGCAACATGTGGGAGGGGTGGGTCCACCCCCCAGCGATGTGCAACCTCGCCCCAGCTGGGAGTCCTCTAAGGGAGCCATCAATAGCCACTAGGCGAAAACATTGGGAGCCTCTCCAAGATCTAGCTAGCGAAACAGACGCGGACCCACGGCACCGTCGGCACCAGCGGCCCGTATCATCCAAGGCGTGGCTAGTCTCGAAAATCGACACAGTGTCAGCAGACGGCGGCGGCGGGGGGGCATGGACGGGGGCCGCGAGGCCAGGGGAGAGGGCTGATCCTTCACCAGTGCTCTCGCCGACCGCGGGGCCACGAGGGCCCTTGCCCCCCCGCCGCCTAAACCTACCTACCTGGGAACCATCACTCAGAAGCTTTTCCTCGGCGGCCATCGCGTCAAGCGAGGATCGTAGAATTCGCATTCTAATCCAGAACACTTCCTGTTCCAAAATCAAAATCGGGGAACGGACGCTGGCGGGCAAACGGGCGCGGTCAGCGCCATAACATGCCAGAACGTCCGCGAAAACATTGCCATGCACGAGCCAACGTTCGGCCTTGCCAGCAACAATATCTGTGGCTTCCATATGGCTGTGGGTGAAGAGGACAACGGCGTGACCCCGCTCGCGAGGCTCCATGATCTCGCCGATCTGAGCCCACAAATCGCTGTTCTCACCCTGTGGCTGGCGATCGCGGGCCGCGTGCCAGCCGTCGAAGACTGCTTTGTTATCGGTAACGTAGATGAGGAAATCGGGTGCCCACCGAAGGGCACAGAGGAAAGTGAACAACTCGCCACGAGGAACCGTCTGCTGGAGCCCTGGCAGGATCCCTGACAGCGTGCTCGAGAGGATCATCGAGGACTCGTCATCGAACTGGGCTAAGCCGACGCCGACGCGTCTGAACAGCGGGCTGGAGGAGTCGCCCCCCCCACTGGCGTCCCCGAACAGGAGGATGGGACGAGCGGCTGAGCCTGGGCCGAACCCCTCCGACAGCACGTCATCGTGAGAGCCCCACCAACTCTCGTCCATCGGCGGCGGCGGGACCTGCATGCGACCCGCTGGCAGCAGCCCACGCAGCCACAGGGCCTCCTCGGCCTCATGCTGGGCGCGCGCCTGCGGGTAAAGGAAGTCCGACTGCACGTAAGCCTCCTCCCCGCAGTTGGCCTTGCAGCCCCAGATGCGGTGGAAGGGGGTCTCTGGCGCGCACCTGCAGCGGGCGCAAATCGGATCGACCGCGACCCGACGCGCTGCCTCAGCCCGTCGCTGCCTTGGCCAGCTGCCGCCCGCAGCGACGGAGACCAGGAGCTCCGCCAAGCGGCGCCCGCGCGGCGCCTGCGCCAGCTGGCGGAGCAGCTGCCGCATGGAGGTGAGCTCCGTGCCGCCGCCGAGGCCGCCTCCGCAAAAATGCCGCTCCGCCTGCTGCCAGAGGAGAGCCTCGGAGGCGCGGTCGAAGTCCACGAAAAACTGCTTGAACCCATTGAGCGCCATGACGTCCGAGTAGCACTCCTCAGGGAAGCGCCATTCGGTACCGTCAGCCATGACCCACAGGGTGGGCGTCTTGGGGTCCCACTGCCGCTCCAGCAAGTACACGATCACCGCAGACATGGGACCGCGAACGTGCCTGGAGCGCCGGCCTGCTGGGACCGAGCGGAGACGACTGACCACCGACTGCCATGCACGATGAACGCCGCCTCGAATGCCTGGGGTGGTGAACCACTGCTTCAGCCAGAATTCCAAGCACTCGTGGGGAAGCTTGATGCCTGGGTCCTGCAGCGGCTCCTTGATGGCCATGAGGGTGGTCTTGCATAGGCCACGGCCCCCGCCGCTCAGGACGGCGGCCAAACTCCTTCTGAAATAATCCATGTGGGCGCCGAACGTGCCGAAGATCTGGTGACCGTAATTGCCAGCGGCAGCGGCGCTGGTACGCTCAAGCCTGC